TTGTTTTTGAACCAATCAGATTTAACTGCAATTTGAAATATTTAAGACTTGTCTACATTAATTGTAGTTTTAAACTATGAGATTGGTTATCTAGATAGGAGCAGTTCTTTAATCATCCGCGAGGTTGCTACTTTTTCAGTATTGGGATCGTAAAGTCATCAGTATCTGATAAACACATTTTACAAGTACATAAACAGCCAAATTATATTAAAGGGGTCCGCAATCAAAATATTTGATATCAAAACAGAGCCAATTTATATGAGAGGGCAAACCCTGCAAACATGTAGTGTAAAAGTAGGTAAGTTAAACAAGAAAAAGTCAAAGAGTTCCCTTCTTTTGTTGCAGTAACATACACATAAAATGGGGCCAAGTTTCCCCAATTGTTTTTTATCTCATTTAATTTTTTTGCCTACACCACCGTTGACTTTAGCCTTGCCATCCACTCCTAAACACTAAAGTCATTCTCTGTTTTAATTCAGAATGCATCTATGCCTCTAGTGGCTGTTGGGTAAATTAACCATTAAAAAGTTGGAAATTGTTTTAGAATTACTATACATGCTATAAATGCCAAACTGGCTGCATTGCTAGTTGAAGCCACTTTCTACCTAAGTAATTTTTCCCTTTTTTATGTCATGTTTTGCTCCCACAACAAGAGGAACACCAGTTGTATCACTTGTTGCCAGTACATTTCTCTTAAGCTAAAATAGATAGAAACATCCATCTTTTGATATGATAATATACCTCTAGGTATTTTGAACATGGAAACTAGCAGTGTTTATTTATTTATGAGTGATATTAGGTAAATTGCAATAATATTTTTCGACAGGCGGTGTAGGTATATACTTTTAGGCAAATATACAGGCAGGGTAGGTATATACGTTTAGACAAATAGACATACAGGGTAGATATATACTTTTAGACAAATAGACAGGTAGGGTAGATATATATTTTTAGACAAATAGACAGGCAGGGTAGGTACATACTTTTAGACAAATAGACAGGTAGGGTTGATAAATAGTTTTAGACAAATAGACATGCAGGATAGATATAGAGTTTTAGACAAATAGACAGGTAGGGTAGGTACATGCTTTTAGATAAATAGACAGGTAGGGTAGATATATAGTTTTAGACAAATAGACAGGCAGGATAGGTATAGAGTTTTAGACAGATAGGCAGGCAGGTAGATATATAGTTTTAGACAAATAGACAGGCAGGATAGGTATAGAGTTTTAGACAGATAGGCAGGCAGGTAGATATATAGTTTTAGACAAATAGACAGGTAGGGTAGGTACATGCTTTTAGACAAATAGACAGGTAGGGTAGATAAATAGTTTTAGGCAAATAGACACGCAGAATAGATATAGAGTTTTAGACAAATAGACAGGTAGGGTAGATATATAGTTTTAGACAAATAGACAGGCAGGATAGGTATAGAGTTTTAGACAGATAGGAAGGCAGGTAGATATATAGTTTTAGACAAATAGACAGGCAGGGTAGGTATATACTTTTAGAAAAATAGACAGGCAGGTTAGGTATATAGTTTTAGATAGGCAGGGTAGGTACATACTTTTAGACAGGCAGAATAGGTATATACTTTTAGACAAATAGACAGGCAGGGTAGGTATATACTTTCAGACAAATAGACAGGCAGGGTAGGTATATAGTTTTAGACAAATAGACAGACAGGGTAGATATATAGTTTTAGACAGGCAGGGTAGGTACCTACTTTTAGACAAATAGCCAGGCTGGGTAGATATATAGTTTTAGACAAATAGACAAGCAGGATAAATATGGCGTTTTAGACAAATATACAGCAAGGATAGGTATAGAGTTTTAGACAGATAGGCAGGCAGGGTAAGTATATACTTTTAGACAAATAGACAGGCAGGGTAGGTATATAGTTTTAGACAAGTAGACAGGCAGGGTAGGTATATACTGTTAGACAAATAAAAAGGCAGGTATACGTACATATATATATGTGTATGCACACACTTTTAGCAAGATAGACAGATAGAGTAAGTAGAAACATATCAAGCAGGTAGTAAAGAGAAATACGGTAGTTATATATAAAGATAAGGGAAACAATGTGTTAGAAGCAGTCATTGATACATGTATATAAATATGGCAGATGGTCAGAGATGCATATAGATTGACGAGAATGGAGAATTATATATAAAGATAGGGCAAACAAGGTTAGATGGACAGACAGGGGTATATATATATAAATATATAAAACAAATGTAGAGAGAGAGATCGACAAATATAGGTAAATATATACAGACAAGGGTAGACAGACAGACAGGGGTATATATATAAATATATAAAACAAATGTAGAGAGAGAGATCGACAAATATAGGTAAATATATACAGACAAGGGTAGACAGACAGACAGGGGTATATATATAAATATATAAAATAAATGTAGAGAGAGAGATCGATGAATATAGGTAGATATATACAGACAAGGGTAGATAGACAGACAGGGGTATATATATATAAATATATAAAATAAATGTAGAGAGAGAGATCGATGAATATAGGTAGATATATACAGACAAGGGTAGATAGACAGACAGGGGTATATATTTAAATATATAAAACAAATGTAGAGAAAAAGAGAGAGATCGATAAATATAGGTAGGTATATACAGACAAGGGTAGATAGACAGACAGGGGTGTATATATATAAATACGTATAACAAATGTAGAGAGAGAGATCGACAAATATAGGTAAATATATACAGACAAGGTTAGATACACAGACAGGGGTATACATATAAATATAAATATGTAAAACAAATGTAGAGAGAGAGAGAGATCGATAAATAGAGGTAGATATATACAGACAAGAGTAGATAGACAAACAGGGGTATATATGTATAAATATATAAAACAAGTGTAGCGAGAGTGAGATCGATAAATATAGGTAAATATATACAGAAAAGGGTAGCTAGACAGACAGGGGTATATATATATAAAACAAATGTAGAGAGAGAGAGAGATCGATAAATATAGGTAAATATATACAGACAAGGGTAGATAGACAGACAGGGGTATATATGTATAAATATATAAAACAAATCTAGAGAGAGAGATCGATAAATATAGGTAAATATATACAGACAAGGTTAGACAAACAGACAGGGGTATATATATATATAAATATGTAAAACAAATGTAGAGAGAGAGATCGATAAATATAGGTAGATATATACAGACAAGGTTAGATAGACAGACAGGGGTATATATGTATAAATATATAAAACAAGTGTAGCGAGAGTGAGATCGATAAATATAGGTAAATATATATACAGACAAGGGTAGCTAGACAGACAGGGGTATATATATATAAAACAAATGTAGAGAGAGAGAAATCGATAAATATAAGTAGATATATACAGACAAGGATAGAGAGAGAGACAGACAGGGGTATACATTATATATCTTAATAAATTAACAATGGAATTTTATTTTGTGCTGGTTCTTCTTGTTCTACTATATGTTTTGCCTCTTCAAACAGATTTTAAAACACTATGCCATTTCCTTATTTTAGGATTTTCGTCTTCATCTAAGCCCTCAAGTCATCACGTTTAACCTAATGATGGCTTAAGGACCTAGTAATAGTTAGCCAGGCACTTGGGTGTCCAAATGATACAGTTATAAAATGATTGGCTGCCTCAGATGATAGGAAGTAGGGGAAACTTGAGAACAAAAGATCACATGACGTCATAACTCCACCACATCGGCACTGGAGGGCGTGTTTCTTGGAGCACGATGCCATGGGTGAATAGTTTGTGATGTCATAGTTCCAAATTGTGCCAGCAGAGTGCATGTTAATAGGGGATGGAAATAGGAGAACTAAAGTGAATATCATCCGTGATAAACATGCAGATGGTTCACCAGTGCCTTAGATCAGCAAATATCAATATGTCTCAAACATGTGATTACATCATCAACTTTATAGTGTTCATATATATTGTATTATTTTATAATTAAAACATTCCAACTCTTCATATATAATGCATGTTTTGCTAATTATAATGTAGTACTGTTTGACTTTACTGTCTTATACTAGAAAGGGACACAAAATTAAAATTCCAAACTGAGCAAAATTTTTAATGATCGTTGCAGGGTTATTTGGGCATGCTTATCTTATAATTAGAACATTCGTGTGAGATTTAAATGTTTTTGTAAGATTCAGAGTTTATATTTGACCTTTTTAAAATAAATTCTGTAGCTCATTTGTATAATGTGAAAACAATTCATGAATCAGTTACAGCAGGATGCTATAATTGAAAGATATGGAACACAAATAAATGATTCGTGTTATTTAAGAAGTGGTACACTCACTTTATCAACCAAAGATTTATGAAAGGCCAGTGCATAAAGTATTAAACTTGATAGATAATGATATGCATTCCATCATTCAAATTGACATGTTACCAACAGATGATAAATTAGTTGCAACAACATCGTCAGACCTTTAGCTCACAAGCCATGCTACTCATTAAAATCAAAATGAAAAAAATAAATTTGTTGACAACTTTGCTCATAAATATAGAAAGAGAGGTGGAAATCTTCTCCAGTGCTGATCTATCATGGAATGATTGAATATATTTAAGAGATACATTCCATGATGTACTACATAAACAAAAGACTTTTAACCCTAATGGATAGGAAGAATGTTTAGAACATTTATCAGGTATTAATATTCCACAATAGATCATAAGAAATACTGACAGATGGCAGTATATGAAGCACAAAGATCAAGCATGTCAGCACAAGGATGTTATAATAAAGTAACACTGTATTATTTATTCATTTGTGTCTTGGATATCATCATGGACTGTTGTCAACCCTTTAAGGTAAATGATATTTTGAGTCAACTAAGAATTAATCTTGCTTGTTGTAATGGACAAGTGACTAATACTGTTAGAGACAGAATTGAGAGTAAACCAACTAAAAATAGGTGGTATCAATTAACTAGACGAAACAAACAATGTCTGATGTGGATCGAGCACTACAATCTATTTATCATAATCCTACTTACCCTGCCAATAGTGGTGAAGTGCAACATTTACTGAGATCTTTAAAAGCATTAGGTAAATCCATCACTCTAAAACAAATTAAAGACTGGGTAAGTCATCAGGATACATACACCCCACATAAACCAGTAAGATATAAATTTTCAAGAAAACAAGTGATCATTTCTGGGATCAATGAACAATGTCAGGTTGATTTGGTGTAACTCTGATAATTTCATTATAATAATCAATTTAAGTATTTACTTACTTGTATTGATGCGGACGTAAAACGCTAGAAACCGGGTTTCGATACCCGTGGTAGGCAGAGCACAGATAGCACATTGTGTAGCTTTGTGCTTAACTTCAAACAAAAAAAATGTATTGATGCATTTTCTAAATATACATATTCTGCTCAAGGATAATGGAAGTGCAATACACGTCAAAGCTTTCAAATAATTTTAAAACATGGTAAAAAACCTGCAAGCTTCAGATGGGTACTGGAACAAAATTGACTAGTTGTCAGTTTAAACATTATCTTATGGATCAAAATGTTCACTTCTTTACTACACATAATGAAACAGAAATGTTTATACTAGAATGATTTAATTGTATTCTTAAAACTAGAATGTGTCACTATATACACATCACAGAACTTACAAATATATCTCTGTATTGAAACATCTATAATTAATTGTATCTCTATATATTATACTACATTACAGTTAGCAAAATATGCATTTATTATATAGAGTTTGAATAATTTACCTATAAAACAGAATAATCTTATTCAGGATTACATAGATTTGTTAGTATAAAAATACAGGTAAAAGGTAAAGTCAAACTGTACATTATAATTAGCGAAGCATGCAATATATATACAGCCAGAAAGAGAGAGTGAATATTTTACTTATAAAACTACACAAAATAATCCTTTTTTGGGACTAATCAGCAGATTAGGTTATTTGTAAAAGGTATGTTACTATAAAGTTGATGATATAGTCACCTGTTGAGACATACTGATATCTGCTGATCTACAACACTGTGGTGATTTGCTTGTAATCTATCTACACCCTCATCATAGATGATCTCATCATCATATACTTTGGTCTCAAGCTCTTCCCTATCACCTGAGATAGCTAATCAGCGTGAGACAACATCCTTTGTACGCCCAAGTGTCAGGGGCTTATTTTGTATTTTATACACACGGGTAACATTACGTAAAACATTATTTATAAGTATATTTACTAAATTATTCACTTGACATTCGTAGCTATAGTTGAAGTGTTTAGTATATCCATAACCGAATGTGAAATCATCTGGAGAGTAAAGCACTCCAAACCCCAGCTTGATTTCAAGTGTTTGATAGTTTAAATTAATGCCAAAATATCTACCATTCAGCTAAATGATCAGAAGTAGCTTTGAAAGTAGATCAAACTGTTGTCGATTATTTTCATCAATAATAATTGTTTGTTTAGCGCAAAGCTATACAATGAACTTCTCTGAATATTAGCATAATAAACCCTCAAACATACTTGCTGAGCCATTAGGGGGATTTCAAGAATGGATTTGAAACCATGTATTTCTTGATTTTTCAATTTCATAATAATATTGTTGTGTTGTACACAAAAGAATGGGCAACAAAATATTTATTTTTTTGTAGACCCGAAAACGAAAGACGTTGTTCGTTGCTGACTGAAAAAGAAGAGAATCCTGTATATCCGCTAGTTAACCTTTTCTGAGATCATAAATATGGGATGTATTATAAGTGGACAATCCGTACTGAAAGGTTCAGTAGATCATCAACTGAGTCAATGCTTTTCTTCTCGACAGGTGGAGCTCATGAGGCATGCTTGGACTGTAATTTCTCAGGATATGGCTGGAACTGGTGTTGTAATCTTTAAACGGTAAGTTAGTTTTGTTAATTATATAAGGTATGTTGTGGTAAGTGAGTGATAGTAAGATAAAAGTTAGTTTTGTTAATTATATAAGGTATGTTGTAGTAAGTGAGTGATAGTAAGATGAAAGCTAGTTTTGTTAATTATATAAGGTATGTTGTAGTAAGTGAGTGATAGTAAGAAGAAAGTTAGTTTTGTTAATTATATAAGGTATGTTGTAGTAAGTGAGTGATAGTAAGAAGAAAGTTAGTGTTGTTAATTATATAAGGTATGTTGTAGTAAGTGAGTGATAGTAAGAAGAAAGTTAGTTTTGTTAATTATATAGGGTATGTTGTAGTAAGTGAGTGATAGTAAGAAGAAAGTTAGTTTTGTTAATTATATAGGGTATGTTGTAGTAAGTGAGTGATAGTAAGATGAAAGCTAGTTTTGTTAATTATATAAGGTATGTTGTAGTAAGTGAGTGATAGTAAGATGAAAGTTTCTTGATGTTCCAGATTGTTCACTCAGTACCCTCAACTTTCGAAATACTTCAAGAAGTTCATGACGTTGCAGGAGGACGGTAGATATGACTGGGACTTAGGAGGACTCGAACGGCATGCACTACTTGTAATGCAAGCACTTGAAGCAGCGGTGGATAACCTGGACGATACTCAGACATTATCGGCTATCCTGTTCGAACTCGGTCATACGCATGCCCATCATCACGTACAAGAAGAAATGTTTGATGTAAGCATTGGTTATAGTTAAAAAATATTAGAGAATAATCTTATCATCTTTGTATACAGTGTATATATATATATAAGAAATGTTTGATGTAAGCATTGGTTATAGTTAAAAATATTAGAGAATAATCTTATCATCTTTGTATACAGTGTATATATATATATATAAATTACGCAGAGCAATAAACAAGCAAATGTACAGAAAGATATAAGCTTACTTCTGTATTTAAAGTTTTATAAATAAAAAACAACAAAATTATTTTATTTACAGCACGGTCTTTTACGCGGGCACTCTTTATGTGTCGAATAAAAGAAAGACGTGTTTACTTTATAACGCTAAAAACAGAGTTTCAAGTATACATGGCTCATAGTCTAGCTTTGCGTTTCACAACAAATAAACCATATATGATGTTTTAATACAACACAATTCAAGTAGATTCTACTTTATGTATAGCGCAGGTTTTTACTACATTCAATTCACAATTGATGACACTGAATTTTGTTATTCATTTTTGTTATAGAAAATGTGGCAAGCATTGAAATATGGACTAAAGGACGCCCTGCAGGACAAAATGACTCGCGAGATGACACAAGCGTGGTTTCTGGTCTACCGTTTTGTCTCGCGGCACGTGATCGAGGGAATGAGGAGTCATTACAGAACTTGTTAAACATTTTTGTTCGTAAGTATGAAACAACCGCAGCACAAAGGCTTTCTACGCACTGGTACAATGCCTATTACAACGTGCAGTTATGCAAAATATGTGTTTTTCTGAAGTCAGAAAACAAAATATTATTTAATCTTGAAATCATTTGTTGTTTATATTTCAATATTCTAAAGAAGAGTGAACCCCATTTTTATGTTCTTAAATCAAATCTACCAATAAATGACTGAATGGAAATGAGCCTGTGCTGATAGTGGTGACCTGTTGAAGTTAGGTGGTTAAGGCACTCGACTCGCAATCTGAGGGTCGCGGGTTCGTCACACCAAACATGCTCGCCCTTTCAGCCATGTGGGGCATTATAGTTCGTTGGTAAAAGAGTAGCCCAAGAGTTGGCGGTGGGTGATGATGACTAGCTGCCTTCCCTCTTGTCTTTCACTGCTAAATTAAGGACGGCTAGCGCAGGTAGACCTCGTGTAGTTTTGCGCGAAATTAAAAAACAAACAAACTGTTAAAGTTTTATTCTATTTTCTAGTTTCTCATTTGGCATTTTGAGTAAAACAATTAACAGCGTGCAATCTATTAACTAAGAGTTAGAACAGTGTCTACGTGCTTGGTAATTCTTGACCTGTATGGATAGGGTGTCAATTTTAGAATATGAGTGTCAAACACCGTAACATATCCAAAAGTTTCTCGAAATTTATTACCAACTGAGAACGTGAAATAGAGAAAGATGTGGGTGGGATCGGTTTGATCAGGTACCTTTAAATAGGCCTTGCATTTGTGAGTAGAGAATGCGATTTTATTTAAAATAACTTGATGCTTGACTTGTAATTGTGCATTAACGTGTGTGAAAAATTCAAGTGATAATAAACCGTATCTTGATAACTTTTCAACACTTGAATTGTCAAAGCGTGACTGCAAGGTTGTACATAAGATATACTAAGAAAATGAGAGACTACGCTTTATTTAAACTAGTGTACGTACTTAACAAATTTCACCTAATGGTTGACGTTATTTCATACTTTAAATGTGGACTGAAACCTTGTGTAACAAAACATTAAGACATTTTCTAGTTCCAGTAAAGCTAGATGTGACCGAATGGTTAGCGAGTCAAACTGTGGAGCGAAGTATCCGGGATTCGAGACGTGATGCTGCTAAACACGCTCAGTCTTTAAGCTGTGGACGCATTATAAGTGTGACATTCAGTACCATTTTGCTGCTCAAACGGCCGTGCTAAGTCTGTGTGGCGGGAAGGGAGGGTGTCGTTGCTGGTTGGCTGTCTTCTTTCTGGTCAGTCTTTTTAAATTAGGGATGATTATATATCTGAATCTTAGGCGTTTTTGATCTGATTTTTTAACTCATGTGCGCATAAATTTTCGCTCGGATTCACAATTCCAAATGTATTCTAGTATATTGTTTAAAATGTGTCTTTTTTTAAAGAATATAATTATGTGAAATTCACGATTTTAAACTGACGTTAAGGGCTGAAGGGTATGTGGGAGATATGTAACTTGCGTTATATAGTGCTCAACTTTTCTGACAAACTTCGGATATGTTGAGCTTGAAAGCGAGATTTCAATCATTATATTTGCCTATTAAAAATAGGGCAAAAATACACACCATCTGCTTGTCCATGTGACGATCTGCCCTTTTCAAAAGTGTATAATATATACGAAAATATACAAAGGTTGAGTACTTTATATTAAAACGTCTGGTCATACTCTATCTGACGGCCATGCATCTTGACAATAGCTGTGAAGTATAGTTGTTATTGTACAGAAATACATAGGCACTGCATCAGAAAACTTGACCGGTATGTCTTCTTACGTAAAAGCAGGAATACCAGTTTCATTCTTCAGGTGCTTGACGTATGCAACGCTTGGACGGATGTGTCGTGGAAGCAACTTTATCAACCTGTGTCGCTTTTCCAGACGGAAATTCTTCTTAGTTATGTTGAGTACCGCTGGCTGGGGCACATGAACTGATTTTGCCACTGATCTTAGTGTTCGGGGATTCTTACATGTTATAAAACACACTGCACTTTGCTTACCTCGGCTGGGGTAGGATTTGTTGCAGGTCTTTTTTCTGAATGGAACTGAAATCTCCAAACTGATCCATATTCTTTCTGTTGTTTTTTTTTCAAATATCATTAAGTACAAGGAATATCCCTGTCGGAAAGGATTGTTAAATACCCTTCCCAAAAGTAATAGATTTTCGGTGGCATCACACTAGCTACGTAACGTCAAACAATGCCAAAATCTGGTTCTGATACTTACTCTCCTACATCACACTAGCTACGTAACGTCAAACAATGCCAAAATCTGGTTCTGATACTTACTCTTCTACATCACACTAGCTACGTAACGTCAAACAATGCCAAAATCTGGTTCTGATACTTACTCTTCTACATCACACTAGCTACGTAACGTCAAACAATGCCAAAATCTGGTTCTGATACTTACTCTTCTACATCACACTAGCTACGTAACGTCAAACAATGCCAAAATCTGGTTCTGATACTTACTCTCCTACATCACACTAGCTACGTAACGTCAAACAATGCCAAAATCTGGTTCTGATATTTACTCTTCTACTGCGTCTGTGGTTGTCACGTGATTAGCTGTTTCGTATATACAAAACCGTTTCAATATATCATACTCAACCTAAAGTGTGTGTATATGTATAACGCCCATAAGTCACGATTTTTCAGAACTTAATATCTAATGTACATAAATATAAACATGCTTGACTTGCTCTACTGTTTATCTTTTGGTTTAATTATCAATACTTTTTCAGTATTCGATATGATATTCGGTCTGACCTGAAATTCTGTTTTCAAGACGGCTTATTTTATTGATGCACAATTATCAAATAAGCAATTTAAACATTGGTATAAATACACTACAATACGAAAAGCATGAAAGGTGTGTTTGTATCATGTTTCACTTTTGAAGCCTCATTTAAATTGAGAGTTATCTTACTTTTAGTGCTTATCACAACGTGGGGTTTAGTACTAGAAATTCCTGTCAACTGTTGGTTCCCATCAGTTAGAATTATAACGTGCAAACTGAGTGTCGATACCCGTGGTATTGCATATTTCAGTAGCTTTATGCTTAATAAGAAACAATTGCATTGTAAAGGGACTTAGCATAGCCTCATAGTTAGGGCACTCGACTCGCATTCTACGGGTCGCGAGTTCGAATCCCGTCACCGAATATGCTCGCCCTTTTAGCAGTGGGGGTGCTATAATCTGACGGTCAATAACACTTTTTGTTGGTAAAGAATAGCCCAAGAGTTGGCGGTGGGTGGTGTAGACTAGCAGCCTTCCTCCTAGTCCATCACTTCTAAATTAAAAATCATGGTTCCAGCTAACAGATACATCTTTAAAGTGGTGGTTCCAGCTGACAGACTGATCTTTATAAATGATGATTCCTGACAGATTAATCGTTAAAATAATGGTTCCAGCTCACAAAATAATCTGCAAATTGATGGTTTCAACTGACAGAATGATCTTTAAAGTGATGGTTCCAGGTGAGAGATTAATCTTTAAAGTCATGGTTCCAACTACAAATTAATCTGTAAAGTGATGGTTCCAGCTACAAACTAACCTGTAAAGTGATGGTTCCAGCTACAAACTAACCTGTAAAGTGATGGTTCCAACCGACAAAATGATATTTAAAGTGATTGTGCAAGGTGTCCGGTTAATATTGAAGTTGATTCTTCCACCTGACAGACAAATCATTAAAGTGATGGTTCCAGCTGAATGACTATTCTTTAAAGTGATGGTTCTAGGAGCCAGAGTGATCTTTAAAGTGATGGTTCCAGTTGAAAGATTGATCTTTAGAGTGATGGATGATATTGACAGATTAATCCTTAAAGTGATGGTTGCAACTCATAGGTAATCATCAAAGTGGAACTTACAGCTGACAGAATGGTCTTCACAGTGATGGTTATAACTGAAAGACTAATTTTGAACATATATTTTCAGTTCACAGACTAATCTTAAAAGTGATGGTTACAGATGACAGATTAATCTTTAAAGTTATAGTTCCAGCTGATAGACTGATCTTTAACGTGATGGTTTTAGCTGACAGAATGTTCTTTAAAGTAACGGTTCCAGGTGACAGACAAATTTTAAAGTGATGGTTGCATCTCACCGAGTGATCCTTAAACTACTGGTTGCAAATGAGAGACTGGTGATTAAAATAATAGTTCAATCTGACAGACTAGCCTTTAAGTGATGGTTCCAGTTGGCAGACTGATTTTTAAATTGATGTTTCCAGCTTGCAGGATAATCCTTAAAATGATGGTTCCACCTCACAGACTAATCATCAAAGTGGTAGTTACAGTGATGGTTACATCT